CATTAATTTCTCATTCATCCGGAAATGGTTTTATGAAATTAAATATATCACGGAGTAGAATGCGTTTGACCATTGACTCGCACAAAACGGATACCGGGTCATACCCGAATTATTGGTCAAACTTGACCAATTTCCAATAATCCCCCACATGAATGGAAATTATCGAAAATATGCAAATGAAATGCAGACTCGAGAGAGTACGAGCGGAGAGTTATTGCATCAGGAGAGGTAGCTTACGGCTTTGAACCTGCCTTAGTAAAGTACTCTCGATTTTACTTGGCTAATTGGTGAACATGATGTCTTGAACCATTCAATCGTTGGTGTAAACCAAGACAACATTACTCACACAATGTTTTCACTAAACCGTTCATAGTTCTCATTATTGTGTTCATTTTGGCCCTGAACAACTCTTAGTTTCATAAGTGTTTAGAAAATTTTAGTCTTGAACAATTCTCATTGAAGCGGCCGCACTTCACACTTACATAGGTGAGCTCCTATTAAGAGTATTATGTCTTACTCTACTTGACTTAATCAAGATATAGGAATCTACCTTAACCTCACACTTTTCATAAAGCACTATAATTATCATAGGAATGAGTTGGGAAGTATTTTCCTGAGTGCTTTATTGAGTCTTTATAACTTAGTTGTCCATTTGAACCAAAATCTTGGAATATCCAGTCAACAAGGTAGGGTTACCATTACAAAGACTCTTACATAGTAGGCTTTAATCTCATTCCCCTCGATATTCAGTATTCTTGATCTCTCGGTAAATCTCTTAAAGGTACATGAGTTTACACCATTGAGATTGACTGCTTAACGGTATTATGTATACGACTTATACGTCTAAAATTACCATTACATGTGACTTAGTATCTCATCAAATATAGCTAGCTTACGATCGATTGATTTAACAGATACAACATGTCACCACCAAGAAATCCTCTCATGAAGCTACATGCTTCTAACTAGCTTTATCTAAAGCTTTATAAATTCCAAACAACAATGTTAGACGATTTCTATCACGCACTACATTAATCAATCACTTTTACTAGTGGATTTCAGAAACATGGATATTCAATATCATTATTGAAATATTACAATGCATTTCAACTTTTTGAATATTTTTCAAATATTCCAATTGATCTTGCTTATCCAAACAAACTCCGTAATCGACTTTTATCCCATTTCATCCACTTTAGACTTAGTGTATATCATCCTTATAATTAATATAAGGGGTTTCTACCTTTCTCACCTTCATAGATATATTTCTATGATTATAAGGTATAGAAAAATTGTAACTTTTAACATAAGCTACCCCACAATTCCTCAATTAGGAATGCATGTGCAACAAATAATGTTGCATCTACAGATCTTGAAATTTTCATATAAGTTCACAAGTATTGATGTTAACCCCCACATTTTTGGGTTACACTTGAACTTAGAGTTCATCAACTCTTTCATGGTTCAATTCATTTATCGAATAGCTAATGTCCATATCGAATGCTTCGTGAAAGTTTAAATACTTTCAAAATAGTGGTCGTGTCTACCAACAATTTATTTCAAT